TTATTGATAAATGTTTTCATATCACACAATAATTTACGGCATTTTAAGTCGTATTAGAAATTATTAACAATTTTTGTTTTTACTTCATAAATCAGTTATGTTTCAAAATCAGTGACTATTTATACAATTTTATTATGCAATTTAAATAAAAATACTTAAATTATTTATTCAAAATGTCTGACATTTTGGGAAAGTTTCGTATTTGCGATACGATTGACACGAATATGAAAAATGAAATCAAATTATTTCACGTTTTCAATGACTATACTAACGATAAGAATATATTATTTGTCACAAACGATGACACCGTCTATGGTTTAGGGGCTAATAATAACGGGTGTCTGGGTTTGGGTCACGAAAATGCCGTCAAAACACCGCAAACTATACCCCAATTACGCGGACAACGGATCCGACAGTTTATCAATGGCTCGGATTTTGTGTTGGCTATCAATGAGGACAACCATGTGTTCAGTTGGGGGCGCAATGAGTGGGGACAGTGCGCTAGAGATGTGACACAAAATGTAGATTATTTATACCCGGGTGAGATATTTTATTTGAATGACATGAATATTATACATGTTTGTTGTGGTTATCAGCACTCCCTGGCCCTCAACACCGATGGACAGGTGTACGGGTGGGGCGATAATGAATGGGGACAAGTAGGTGGTGGTGGCGATGAAAATAGTAGAGTCTTATCACCAGTTTTATTGAAATTTGAAAATAACTATAAAATTAAAAATATTTTCTGTTTTAATAATATTTCATTTGCCATAACATTGAGTGGTTTGGTATTCAGTTGGGGTGATAATGGTTACCATCAGACTGGACATGATATCCCGGGTGATATATTGTCACCCAAATTGATCCCAGTGTTAAACGACATCAAGTCAATCGTATGTATGTATAACAATGACAAAAGGTTTACGTGTTTTCTGACAAATACTGATTTAATATACTTTTGTGGACTATATAAGACTGATGAGCAAGTACAAAAGACACCAAAATTAATATCATTAAGGCTTAATATTATGGGATTCAGTGAATTATGTTCATATACTAACCATAATCAAACATGCTTAATTAATAATAAAGTTTGTGAATTTATATCACCATGCGAAGTAAATAAATATAAGCATGATAATTTCATTGACTTTTATGCCAATGTATATGAAATAAGTTATAATACATTGAATACTAGTATAAATACAAATACAAATGTAGTGACCAAAGTTACACAAATGGTCAAGCAACTATTTAATCCATTTTCAAAACAAAATGATAAATTAAATGAAGGTATAAAAAGTATTTAATGATTATCATAAAACTAAATTCATAATTATTTTTAAAAATAAATTATTTTAGGACACAGTTTGTCAGAAAGTTATTATAAACAAGTTTTCACAGAGTTATCGACCATAGGATCGGGAGCTTTTGGTACAGTATTTAAAGTTAAGCATAGATTCGATGAACACATATATGCCGTCAAAAGATTGGAAATTAGAGGTATTTTTAAATTATTTTACTTTAAAAGTAAACTATATTTTGTGAAATTTATTTTAGACTTTACCGATGAATATATGCATAAAATTCTGAATGAAGTGAAGAGTTTAGGAAAAGTTCGTTCAGAATATGTGGTCCAGTATTACAACTCATGGCCCGAAGGCAAACACCTCTACATTCAGATGGAGTTCTGTTCACAGAATTTAAGGAATATTCTTGAAGTGAAACCACAAGTATTTGGTCGACAATTAGGAGAAGCCATGGATTGT